TTTTTGTTTTAACTTAATTTCAAAGATTTCTTGGGGCGTTAATTTCCAAAATTATTTTTTAACTTTCTGAGTATTTTTGCTTAACTTAGTAAGCTATCCTGGCATGATGTACTTTGCTTTTTAGAACTGATAGCTTGAGGCAGTGATTGGATTTTTGTTTGCATACCTCCAGTGTTTTCCATTTTGTCCCCTACATGGGGGTTTGTATGTGCTGTCTGTGAATGTTGCCAGGTTGCTTAAAAAAAAAAGTCATAAAAGTGAATTTTTAGCATTTTAACTTCTGTGGAAATAAAGATTCATACATACTTTCCTGATCTCTGCAAGGATTTTCCATCTGGTGTTTTCTTGGTTTTGCTTTACTGTATCAGAATGTCCTCTTAAAGCTTCTTGGCCAGGGTGCTTTCTTATCTGCCACTTTCTGAGCCAACACCTCCCTCTCTCTTTTTTTTCTTTTCTTTTTCTTTTTTCCTTTCCTTTCCTTCTTTTTCCTTTCCCCCTCCCCCCTCCCTAAAGTAGAACTGTTTTGGTGCAAATAGTGTATACCTTCTGTATTCCAGCGCTGCTGCCCAGAACCTAGTAAGAGGATTCCCTCCTGGAGCGGGCGTCCCATCTGGATGGAAAAGATGGTGCTTTGCAGGGTGAAGGTTCCGCACACCTTTGCTGTTCACTCTTACACTCGTCCCACCATATGCCAGTATTGCAAAAGGCTGCTCAAGGGCCTTTTTCGCCAAGGAATGCAGTGTAAAGGTAAACAGTTAATTTTCTGCTGCAGTGATAAATTTCAGTAAAGGTCTTGTATTTAAAACTGATTTCAACTTACGTTTTGAGTGCCAGAAGGTTGTATACTGTGAAATGGGGCAGTATAATTTTTGAAAAATTGAGAGAATTACAGCAGCCTTCATTTTCGTTTTAGTAAACTGTGCATTGTACGTATTTCTGAAAAATACGATTTAATCACATGTAGGTTGGGAAAACCTTAATTCTAGAAGGATAATTCTAAATAAAAATGGGAAATACTTACCTTTGTTCAGTGTCTGTCTTCTAGACTCATCATTAAAGACTATTTAAGTTTTCATTATGTTATGCTAGTACAGAATACTGGTTATTATCCTTTTGGAAAAAATTTATACAGGTAGGTGCCTTTCCTAAACTAGCTTAAGCTCCATTTATTTAGCATATGTTAAGATGCATGACTTCAGTTCTCAGACTCTTTTATGCAGTTCCCAGGGCATAGCTATGACATTACAATGTTCGTCTGGCTCTTTATTGCTGGATAGTGCAGATCTGTCAGCTTTGTTGCAGGAAGGAAAACAGTAGTGATGAATCCTAAACATTAGTACGGAGAGGACTTTCCATTGCTCTCGTGTGAGTTTGTCAAATGTGCGTACCCGAAGGTCAACATTTTGAAAGAGGTCACTTAATACATTTTCAATTTCCTTTAGTAGAAGAGAGCAAGAATGGTAAGCTTATAGTTGTGTTACTTCTTTTGACTAAAAATACTGCTGTCTCATGTACATATGGAAGTAGTTTTATCTTTTGTTTCTGTTTTTATTAATTTGCAGTCTTTGAAGACTGAAGTCTGCATCCTGAACTGGTTTTGTGTGTGTTTTTTTTTTTTTTGTTGTTTTAGTCAGTGTATCTCTCAGATACATGTAATACATAAATAATGAAGCCTGAAGAAGGTGCTTTGCAGTCTTAACATATAGATGCTACTGACCATATACAGTTGTTGTGACTGTATATCCAGATGAACAAATGGGGCTACCACATCAGTTTCAGGGAAGTGAGTGACACTGGATTTACATATGGAAAACAAGCCTTGAGAAATGTTATGTATATGCACAGGACAGAAATAAGTATATTGATAGGCCTCTATTTATGCAGTATGGTCCTATACATATTTTTAATATATCAGGAATTGATATCAAACAATCAAAATATTTTCATAATGCTTTCTCCTACAAATTCTGAAGGCTTCTCACAGACTTCCTTGTGCACATTCCCAAAGTTTGGGGTCTTTCAGCAGTTCCATGTTCCGGAGTACCCCTAAGACCCCTGGATTTCTTGAATTCATTCAGACTTCTACTTGGACTCTGAGGATGATCTTAGGGATGCTAAGGCTATATTTGTGGTAATAAATTAAATGTGCCCAGGAACATTCCTGGACACTGAGGTCAACTGGGACAAAATGACCAGTGCCCATGAACAAGTTTTCTTAGCATCCCAGCCTGAGTGGTTGTATGCAGACTGCCTGTTGAGAACAATTTTATGGGATGCTCTGATTTATGAACTAGACCTGAGAACTGTTTGGGTTTGTGCTAATGCTGTGGGCCAAAGGCATGCTAGGGGGTGTTTCTAACTGTTTGCTGGACTAGAGTGTTGCACTGAAGCACCCAAGAGTGTTTCTGGACGTAGTTTAATTTATTAGGATTGACTTGCTCTAGCCTTTCTAGTTCCCTAGTAGGATTTGATATGTCTCTGTTTCTTCCAGCCCCCTTCAAACTAGTGAAGTAACCATATTCTGTAATATGGACTGAAAACAGTTCATTGGTCTCCTAGGATGTGTCCTTGTAGGCACTCAGAAGCTGAAGAGGATTGTATTTTGCTCCAGGGTTTGGTTTCTCTGGTACTAAAAATGGGGAGATAACGATTTTTCTCTTGTCTGGGCTTAACAGGAAAGCACAGTGAGCTTTCTTTGGGTAGCAGAAAGGGACAGATTATCAGTTTGAAAACAGTTGTGGGGACAGTAAGGTGTTTTGAAATACATGATGTTGATACAGAGTTGAAAATTACAGTGATGGTGCTCATAAAGAAAATTCCTGTTAATACCACTAATGTTGTATGCTGGACTTTGTTCAGTAGGCTGCATCTGATACCTCAGATGCAGAAATGGCACACATCCAGGTTAGATTCCATCTCTACGTCAGGCCAGATCTGGACATAACGTTATTCTGTCTGCCCTGTGTCAGCAGGCAGAAATGGAGCTTCAGTGCTCAGCCAAATCTGCAACCTGCATGAAAGGGGAACTGGACTTTGGGATTTATGCAGAGCAAATTTGCTCTGTGATATAGGTGTGTGATCCTAGAGGCTCTGATGGCTGCAAGTCTTAGGCAGCAGGTGGTGAAAAATGATAGAGATGAGACATATAAATCACATAGCAATGGAAAAAAGGGTGTGGAACAGATGAGAGGATGGGAAAAATTACATCATAATGGAAAAAATAACTGCAGAGAAAGCTAGAGAAGTAGAAAACTGTTTTGTACTGGAAGGGGAAGTGCTGACATAATAAATAGTAGTGGGGCAAATCAACATGTGACATCAGGACAAGATTATTAATTTCCTTCTGGAGGTGACCTCATTGGTGCTGTCTTCAGTTACATGCAAATCTATGAATCCAAACTGAAGCTTGCGATGGACATAGTGAATGATAGAGTGTTAGTGTCTGAGTAGGAGTAAGATTCTGGTATTATGGGCTTATTTATCTTCTGTTTTAGATTGCAGATTCAACTGTCACAAACGCTGTGCGTCTAAAGTACCTAGAGATTGTCTTGGAGAGGTGGTTTTCAATGGAGGTAAGATGAGAAACATGCTTTCAAATACTGACAGATCTTTGGAGGCTTAACAAGATGCATTAGCTTTTGGTTCTCTTATCTTTGAATATTTTACGTCTTTTTGTTTTATCTTCCCAGGTTTTTCACCTGGTATCACTGACAATTAAAAAGACTCACTGTAAAACATATACTGTGGTGACTTTAATTTTACTTAATCAGTCTTGGCAAGTACAGTATGCTTTGCTTGAGATTGCTAAAGGAAAATGAAAAATCAAGAAGCCTTCTCAATGTACAAAAATTAAACATCTGTTGTGATCAGTCTGCTTACTGTTCATCATGAAATACATAATTTTAAATGTTAATGACTGAAGACAAGTACTATTTTTTGTGACTTTCATGATTTTCAGTGGCCAGAACTAGCCCAGCAGTTTGTGAGGTAGAAGAGAAAGGAAAAAACCAAGCCAATCCAAACCAAAAAAACTCAATTTTTTGAAACCTCAGTTAAGTAAGACTATTTTCCGAATAGACCGTACAGAGTTGAAAGGGGAAGGTGAGGAATGGTATGTGGCAGAAAGGTTGGAGTCTTATTCTTAGGAGTTCTAGACCAGTGTTAAGCTGATGAAATACGGGATGGATGAGCAGACAGTGAGGCGGATTGAAAGTTCATTGAGTGGATGGGCCTAGAGGGTGGTAATCAGTGGCATGAAGTCTAGTTGGAGGCTGGTAACTAGTGGTGTACCCCAGGGGCCAATACTGGGTCCAATCCTGTTCAACATCTTCATTAATGATTTGGATGATGTAGCGGAGTTGTGCCCTCAGCGAGTTTGCTGATGACTAGGAGGACTGGCTGATATGCCAGGGGGTTGTGCTGCCGTCCAGAGGGACTTCAACAGGCTGAAGAAATGGGCTTACGGGGGTTTATTGGACCAGATGACCTCCAAAGATCCCTTCCAACTTCAACCATTCTGTGATTGTGTTGCCCAAAATCTTGATCGTTGGCGTGCATGTTTTTGAGGGGAATAAATTTGATGACATGCAGAAGATCACACCAAACTGTACACCCTGATTCAGAGGCCTGGGCAGCAGACCTGTTAGCCAGTGGGTCCATTGCCTTTGCACAATGTATCGCATCCATTCATGCCTGCCTTCTCCAGCTCCAAGGCTCTTGCCTGGGTCTTGAAATTGGTGTCCATGAACATTAATGCACAACATGTTGTTGCTGCAGTCTGCTTTCACCAGCCTTGTGATGCTAAGGTGTTAAGAGTATATAGTTTGGGAACTACAGTTTCACACAATTCTTCTGTGGACATAAGGAGTTGTTTATTTTTTGTTGTTCTTTCTCTCACCCTTAAATTGAACACTCCTCAGACAAAAAACAAAAGCTCCAGATGAACGTATTTGTATGTCTTAATCCTTAGTTTTCCACAGTGCAAGTTGTTCAGCTTTGGGAAACTTTAAATTATTCTGCCAGCAGAGAGTCAGATGCGAGTAAGATCTGCTTTTTTTTTCTCTTTTTCTGCAATAACACAGCCCCCTTTTTCTCTCTTTTGCTATTATGGGCTACAAGGGCAGAGAATAGAGCTGGGTTTCTGTTGACAGAGAATTTCATTTGCTCTTGAATAATTCTCTGGGTCATCTCTGGCCATCAGAAGGTTACTTTGTACTTCTTACTGGTGGAACAGAATTACTTAATGAGATTTAGGTTTAGACTTTAAGCTTTTCACTCCGTTTCTTTCAATATGATTCTTGTCTTGCTTGGGTCTCTCTTGCCTTGGCATTTAGCAGAAACAAATTGATAATGTTCATTAGCGCATTTTGCATCATTTGGCAAAAATTTGAGGATTTTGTATATTCTGATTGTACTTTTATGTTTACTTGCCTAAATGTGAACTGAAGAAGAAATTTTATGGAGGTTTTTTGTGGAGGGTTGGGTTTTTTTTAATTGTGTATTTGAAATAATATCTGAATCCTGTGTTGTTTCCAGAACCTGCTAGCCCGGGCCAGGACTTGGACATGCCAATGGAAGTTGATAGCGGTGAAATGAACAGTGATGGTAGTCGGGGTCTAGATGATGCTGAAGAGCCCTCTCCTCCAGAGGACAAAATCTTCTTTATGGATCCATCTGACCTTGATGCAGACAAAGATGAGGAAGCTGTCAAAACCATCAGGTAAGTCATAAGGTGGATTTCTTTGCTGTGGGATGTACTTTCCTCAATATTTTAAAGTAAAACTTTGCCAAACACTTCTGATTAGCCCGGTTTTACTGCTTAAAGTGTCGGTTTTTTTCATTTGTGGTTTTTTTTTAACTTGAAGCTGCTTTGTAAAGTTGTCCTGTCACAAGCAAATCTGAAACATAAATTAAAATAATATAGTCTCTTCTAATTGGAAAAAGTGCTGTGCTATGACTGTTACCAAAGAAATAAAGCCAGGTTGTCAAAACATGGTAAAATTTATGGCTTAACATGGTTAAGACATGAGTAAGATCTTTGTGACTCTAGCCTAATTTAGTTGCTGTTATACATATGTTGATTTAAAAGGAATTACTTGAGGTATTTAAACGTTCACATCGCAGTTTACATGCGTTTTAGTCAGAAGTTTGATTTATGTAACTTGAATGTGATTTTTCTGAAGTCTTCTATCCCTTAACTGTCACAGAGTTCCTTGACTCAAGTTTGGTCTTTTTAATTTCTGTATTACTCTAAATAGTGTCATCCTGATTTTCTTAAGTCATTCTTAATAACGCAACAGCAGTCGTATTAGGTCAAACCAAAGGTCATTTTAGCTTAGTGCTTAACAGCAAATATGTGAGGAAGAGCATATAGTGATATCTTCTCAACTTGCAGTGATTTATAGCTCAAGGACTTCCTGAGTTGGAAGTAGCATTTTTTTTTTGTGTTCCACCTCTAGGTAGGATTTTTCCATTTATTTCTAATTGCTTTTGAAGCAATTAAAGTTTTTTTTGGCATGTACAGCATCCTGTGGCAGCCAAACCTACAGTGTAACTGTGTGCTGTGTTTAAAGCATCCTTATGTTTTTGGTTTCGAATCTGCTATGTGATTTCATGTGTTTACAAACATTTCTGTTAGTGCAACATGTAGGAGCTCTGGTGTTAAGCAGGCAACTTAGTGGTTCACTCCATCTTCACTGCTATTAAAACCTGTATGTTTAAGTAATGACACTGTCAGAATATTAGAGATTGTCAAATCTTTGTCTGCAGGAAAGTTGATATCCTTGAGCATTGATAAAATTTCCTAGTGCAGCTAGGAAATTTGAATTAACACACCCCTGCTGATACTTTCACAAATTGAAAGTATGCTTAGGTAGGGACCTTTATTAATGTAATAACAATATGAAGAAGTAGCATAGTCAACTTACACAGACAAGTGAAAATAATAGCGATGCCGATGTTAATTATGTTTTTATGGTGAACTAAGACCAGCAGTCTTGGCTAGTTTTGAGAGTGGATGACTTTTGTAGGTGTCCTCATTCCAGTGTGTTTCTTCTGTATTCCATAAAGTAATTTAAGTACTGCAGTACTTGCACTAGGAGAGGTAGGGAGAGCTCAGATACCTTATCAGTTTCATCTGTCAGTGAAATAATTTGTATGGGAAGGAAAGGTGCGTGTTCCTGAAAACTACTGGCTAAATGTGTAGTACCAGTATAATTGCAGTACTGTTGTATTTTAACTTGTTAAATATTAACTGGTTTTGGTTTTGTTTGTTTTTGTTTTTTTTTTAGTCCTTCAACAAGCAATAATATTCCTCTCATGAGGGTTGTACAGTCGATCAAACACACAAAGAGGAAGAGCAGTACAATGGTGAAGGAAGGATGGATGGTCCACTATACGAGTAGAGACAATCTGGTCAGTGACTTTAGTTTCTTCTTACATTAAGTTAAATTATTTCTCTAAACCAGTGTATATTATTTCTCTCATTCAGATACTCTGATTTACAGTATCATTTGAAAAAAAAACCCTTAATCATCATGTTCATTATACAGAAATCTGGTGCAAAGGAGAATCTGTAGTTTATTCAAAATTCTTCATGTGGTGATTCAACAGTACTTTACCTTCTCCCTTTTAAAACGGTGAAGCATGTCTAAATTGTATCAAATGAATTGCATGTTTAAGATTTCAGCTTTCCTGAGATAATAATTTGGAATAATTTGCTTATGTCTTCTTTCTGTTCAGCAGTTGAACTAAATATTTGTATCAGTGTTTTTATTTAACCACATGAAAAGGTGGACATCATTATAAAGTGATGACTACTGAAATGGTTGAAACTATTATTCTAATGATCTAGGTGTCTGTAAGTATTTGTGTAGCTATGGGAGCCCTTCATTCCTCTAGCAATTCACTCTATCTAAAAGTAAGCATTATTGAGCACCTTTCCCCCAAACTCACTATTCCTCTTGATGTCGGTGGGATAAAGAGTTACGGGTTGACTGTATGTCCTTGGGTATGCAAGCATCCTCCAAAAAGACTTTGCTGTTTGTTTCCAGTGCTACCAATCATGATCTCTTAATTGAATCTTCTTAGGCAAGCTCCTTGGTTTTGTGTATTGAGGAGGAAGATAAGGAAGAATAACTGGGTTCCATAGAGTTGTCTGATGGAAGGGAGTGAATACTCTTGTCTTTTGGTAGATGAATGAAAAAGGTGAAGTCAGGAAGTTCCCAGATCTCGTGAAGCACAGTGAGTCATATTGAGACTGTTCATGAAAGGCAGCATAAATACTTTTGCATTCTTTGTCTCTACACAGGAATCTGAAGGGGGCTTCAGGAATGTAGAGAAGCAAAGTTATTTAAGTTCTGTTGAAATCAAGCTGAAGGGTGGTACAAGTCATCTCAGGCTACTGTAGTATTTTTACTTTTTCTGATGGTCAACTAAACAGACCGCTGTAAGTGGTCTGTCAGAAACTGCCTTACAAAACATTTCTTTAAAGTACAGTTTTCTAATATCTAGATGTATTTATAACAAACTAAAATAAGTATCTAGTGTATTGCTGAGATTCCAGTCAAGGCTACTTAACAGACCCAATTATCATCAGCTGGCTATGGAAAAACTAAGGCCAGGTAGTAGATGAAGATTAATAGTTCTAGCAGTGTTCAAGGCAGACCTGGTATTTGGCTCCAATTTAATCTTTCAGTTACAGCCAGTAAGCCAGTACATTTTTCCATGGACTTTTCTGGATCTCCTCATAGACCAGTGATCAGGTTGTACACCTTAGCTTAGTCTGATTTTTTTTTTTTTTTTTTTTTTTTTTTTAAACATTTATCAGTCTGGTTGCTACCTAAATGACATCTACCAAAAAAGTCCATTCAAATGAAGTGGAGTATTTGGCCCCAAAGCAAGACAACTTCAGCCACGCAAGATCTCGTAGAACTCTCTAATGGGAGGAGAACATTGACTGTTTCCCTTGACTGCTCTGCTCTCAGCAATGTCAGACTATTTCCTATTACTGAAACAACTTGGGCTTTCTATCAGTTCCAGAGAGGTTCATGTTAAGAGCAGTAACTATATACTTATTGCTTACCCTGAATAACAAGATATTTCACCCTTTATAATGAGAAGTTTCTGTATCATCATCTGTATTCTTTTCCTTACCCTGGGACCATCCTTTCTCAGAATATGGTATGGCCAGATTTTGAATCCCTGAGTGAGTTACCAACCTGTTCCTTAATTCCCCCCCTCCAAAGTCTTCCCTGATTCATGATTTAAGAACATATATGTCTAAAGGACAGGTTCACACTTGCGCTTTCACACAGTTTCCAGTCAGTGCTGGCTGGGAATTCCATTTGGTTAAATCCATTCATATCCTAGCTTTCTTTGTCTTAACTCCTATGGGTAGTCATAGTGTCCCCACGATTCTGCTGTATTGTATTTCAAACTAGTGTCATCCTAGGCCAGAGTTAAGGGTCTTGGATTTTTGTTGCAGGAAAATAAGAACAGGTTTCTAACTATATGAGCATGGTGCAAGCAAAGTAAGTTAGATTCATACAGCCATAGTGGCTTTCTAAAAGCTTCTTTGTTTTGAGGCATGTTCCTCTACTTAAAACTACAAGACAGTTATGTCCAACAGCTTATTCATATTACTTTTCGGTGGAGACAATATTTCTCACTGGTGGGGGCTTCTAGGAAATGGCTATTTAGTCTGTCTTGATTTTTATTTTCTTTTTTTCTCCCAAGATATTTTGTCCACTTCAATCTCATAATGTCTGTCTTGCCACTGTGAGCTTTTGAATTTCTAGAATTCTGTGTTGACAAAAGAATTATAAGGACTTGTTAGGCTTGCTCAGTCCTTGAACCCTTGCAATAGGTTGCAGTTGGTATGAGGGCCCAGAGGGAGAAAGCATGACTCCCACAATTGTTACTAAATTAAAATAATTCAGGTTTTGTGAGTACCTGAACCTGGAGTGAAACCTGTGTAGGTAAGTGTTTTTCCTGTACAAGGTAACTGCTGTTGTCACTGCCATTACTCTAAGGTAAATGATATTTTTTTCTGTTTTATGGAAATAACTTTGAGCCTCTTGAGTTCAAAAAAAAAAAAAATCTGTATTTCCAAAGTGTGTATCTTCATGTATCTAGTCTAAAATGCAACTGTAGATTAATGTTAGTTGATTATCTTAGTAATTTAAAGCATTTCTCATTTAAATTTTCTGATAACAAAAGCCATGCAAGTGATTTACTCCTTATATTATTGTACTGTGCATTTTGTAGAGAAAAAGACATTACTGGAGACTGGACAGCAAATGCCTCACCCTATTTCAAAATGAATCTGGAACAAAATATTACAAGGTAATTAATGATGAATAATAATTATGTTGCACTTGATTTACTCAGTGCTTTATAGATCTCAAATCTACTTGTGAGCAGTATAAGTATTATCTCTATTTCCCCATCTTTTCTAATCAAAACTGTGACAGGTTAATTGTTGGCCAAAGCTTGTAATTGAGAATGACCAAGACTAACTCTGAGAAGTTGCTTGCAGCTCCTGTTCTAATCCCTTGAGTCTGTCTCTCCCTACATTTTCCATTGTACTGTTCTCCTGAACTGCCTAGCGTGTTTAAGCTTTCTTCACAGTTACCAGAGGATTTGTTTAGCTGCCAGTCTAATGAAAGCTAGGATTTTTGTGTTCTAATAGTAGTGACTGAAAGTTTGCATGCTTATGTATTTTATTTTGAGGTTCCCCAAAAGTAAATTATTTCCAACTGTATAACTGAAAGTTGCAACTAAGATATAGAGAAAAACTTACTGTGCAGCCTGGTGTTATATAAATGAAACTTGGCAATAAGTTTAGTGTATTGTTAATACAGTAATGTGTTCAATGGTGGACTATATTCAGAAAATGTGTTCGAATGTATAAACAGGATTTTTCCCTTTCTTGTCTTACACCTTTAGGTGGGGGTCCAAATCTTGCAGCTTCTTCCTTTATAACACCTCTAAGATCAAGCCTTTTCTCTGTACACCCAGCTAAACTTGCCCAGATCCTTTTCATCCCTATCTTGACCAATGCAGTCTCTTCTTCTCAGACCTCCCTGATACTTGTATTGCCCTGTGCATTCAAAACACAGCTGGTAAAATATATTCCTTGCTTGTTGCTCTGTTATGTCACTGCTTTTAGTCCTTTGACTTGTCCCTTTGCCCCCCCTTTTCTAACTGCTTAAATCTCAGGTTATTTGTCTTTGCTGTTAGAATCATTCACAGTTGTTGCCTGTACATTTATTTGCTCTTCATCTTAATCAGCTACTGTCTCTTATCCCCCTAATGCCAGCCCGGTACTCGCCTGCTTGTTCACTGCTCTTGCAAGTGACATGCACCTGTATGCCTTCCCGTGTACGTGGAATGTCCTCCTCCAGCTAGTGTGAACTTGCAGCCATTTCTTCCCTCAGATCTGTTCTCTAGTACTGCTTGTGCCATGATCTTAAACTGACAAGGTAGAGCAGTCAGTAGAGATGGTTGATATCTGTATGAAAGAGAATCTTTATCCAAAACGATTCCGATAACGTGAAGCAGTGCTTATTGACTAGTTTATATAACCACATCCTCTTTTTAATGTTGTCTCGTTTCACTTTTTTCCCCTGTTCTGTTCTTCTCTGGTATAAACTATAGGGAGAAAATGGTCATTCTATAGTTGTGCATCATTTGTATGTGGTGGGGCATGTCTCATGCTGAATATAAAGGCAGACTGAGTAGAGAACAGTCATTGTATAGAGAGAACTGTGGTGGGGCTGGAAGTCTGTCTAGGCTTGTATAGATAGAGGAATTCAGAAAACTGGGTGGGCAATGGCCGTGCACAGTTTGACATTAGTTATGAAGCTTGGTGTTTTGGTGTATTGATATATTTGCTTTGATTTCTTTGCAAACACTTTTAAGTTTTGAATATCAGTATATGAAAATATTGTGTGCATTTTCCTTTTTTTTAATCTTTAATATTTTTCTTCAGGAGATTCCACTTTCAGAAATTCTCCAGGTGACTCAGCCTCGAGATTTTTCAAACGTGGTGCAGGGCAGCAACCCGTACTGTTTTGAGATCATCACTGACACGATGGTGTACTTTGTTGGCGAAAACAATGGCAGCAGTCATCACAGTCCTGTTCTTGCTGCCACCGGAGTTGGACTTGACGTAGCTCAGGGCTGGGAGAAAGCCATTCGTCAGGCTTTGATGCCAGTCACTCCTCAAGCTAGCGTTTGCACTGCAGCAGGACAAGGAAAAGATCACAGTAAGCAGGCAGACAAGGCACTACTATTTGTATTCCAAAGCTGTTAAAAATAGAGATTCCTTTCAGAAAAGTGCTTATTTAGAGTGAAGTCTTGTCTGTCTATTCTCTGCTGAATTGGGTTCATAATTTTACACAAGTCTCTAAAAAGTGACACTCAGGTTTGTGGAAGATGGGCAAATCCTTTAATCTGTTGTAGCAGGAAGTGGTAGTTAAGAAACAGATTAGCAATATGAATGCATATGAGCTCAATTGTAGGAACTCAATTAAGAACTGTTCCATAGTTGCTGGATGTAAAAAGAGACCATAATTTAAATATTTCTAATATACTTTAAAAAAAATATATATTCAGATTACATACATATACTCTGAAAGAGCTAAATTTGGATGCTTTTTGATGTTACCCTCTCTGTTTTTTTCAAAATCTGTGAGATGTCAGTAGCTAAGGAGAAGAAAAGGAGTTAGTGATGCAATGTAAATACTGCCAGTGATGGAAAGAACTTTTGCTGAGCTGTGGGCAGTAATAAAAAGTACCCTATTCTTCTTTTAATGCACCTGTCTTACCTTTCTTTCTCTGGCATAGGATCAGATTCATTATCAAGGCTCCACGAAACTACGTAGTTTGTCTTCAGACATCTTGTTCCTTGCAATGACATTCATTGACATTCTGTACTGGGATTTACGCTTTCATTCTTTAGTTTCCTTTCATCTTCCAGCTACTCCTTAATCTTCTTTTAGTGAGATTTTGTTTTGCAGGAGATTCTGAGATTAGTTCCTCTGTCTCTGGTATCTGGCTACTTTACATCAGCAGCAGTCAAGAACATGTCAGTAGTAATCTGAGGTAAAGACACTTTCTGAAAATGCAACCATCGTCTGAAATAGAAAACTATGAAATGCCAGTATTGGTATCTATATTTAATTACAGTGAAGAAACGTACCTGTAGGATGGTACCTCATAACTGGCCTTATACATACATAAAATGCCACTTTTGCTATGAAATTCTTAGTTCCAAATATATATACACCAAAGCTCTCTGTTTTCTAGAACCTAAGGCTTACTGTTGCTTAGGAACTTGCAAAGAATTTTTTTTTCCAAAATCAATATTTTTTTCAGATCTAAATAATAACATTTTCTTATTAAAACTTGACAGTGGTAGGGAATAGAGCTGCAGGGGTAGATACAGAGAGAGGAAGTATTTTAGCATGTTTAGGATTGGAGGAGTGTAAGAAACTGCCATGAGTTGTGGAGTGGTGGTCACACATTCTTAGACAACTCAGGTTGGTTTTTAAACTCTAAAAAGTCTGTTCATCCCTCTCCTTCGTACACGCTGTGAGCCATGAAATATATCCCAAGAGCCTTTAAGAAAATTAGACTTCTAGTTAAAAAAACAAAAATCCAGAAGCCTCAAATACGTTCTTTTAAATGAAAAGACCAAAAGAGGAGGGAGACATTGCTAAGTGCTTGACATACTTAGAGCAGCAGGGAATTTGTCGTGTTAAAATGTCCACCAAGACACTAGCCAGTCAGTTCATTTCGCATTCTAGCCAGAAAGAAGCTAGAAATGAGGATGCTCTTCCTGTCAGACCCACGAGAAAGAGTCCTTTTTGACGTTGTACCTGGTGGTTGGGGTGGGATATTTCTTCGTGTTTTTTTTCTGAAATGAGAAAGAGATTAGTAAGCTGTTACTTGGCATAGATTGCGTATTGAATCCTTGCGTTACTGATTTCTTCAGAAGTGACAATTTTTCAGCCCTTATTCTTAAGCATTTCAGACACTAGAAAAATGGGTTTATTTGGAAGGAGAAACTCAATCTCTGCCTACCAGATCCTTTGTATTCTGTAGCCATCCGTGGAAAAGGGTTCAGTGGGTTCTCTTTAAAAAAAAGTTTCAAAACCTGTATCTTCACTTCCTGGTTACCTTGTTTCAACCTTGCTGCAGTTGGTCTTGACCTTAGTAACTCTTTTGTCTGCCTTCTTTCTTGTTTTGCCTTGTGTTCTGTACTATTATTCCAATATAGACTTGACTACAGTCAATAATCAGTAGACATATGCAAGGCTGTAATTCCAGTTCGTATTTCAGATGCAGTATTCAGAGTGTCTTCGAGAAGTAGTATTTGTTGCTATCTCGAGTCTGTAAATTCCTTCTTTGAGGTAAGGCATAAGTGGCAAAAATCAGATACAGATATTTTATACGTTCTTTGAAATCTCAGTTCTCTTCTTAAGGTGGTAAGAGCTCTTTTCAAAGTGCTAGTACATCTATAGTGTATCTTCTATCCACTTTGTAGGTGAATTTGTTTCACCTCTTTTCTTTTTTTTTTTTTTTTTTTTTTGGGACGTTAACATCACAAATGATAGGTGTCTATTTGCCTGAGATGCTTTACCTCTGTCTTAGAAGTCCAAGGGGTGTTTTCTGCCTTCCTTGATGTAGCTCTTCTTGTCCATGCATCGTAACGTTATTCGGGTAATGAGAACTTTGTGTCAACATCTGCTGCAGGCTGAAAAATTCTGTATCTCTTATCTGGTGCTCTTGCTTGCAAACTACATTTCCTAGATGTCCTCTTATATTCTAAAGATTGATATGCTTCTGTAGTTTGTCCATGACACTAAGATTGTTTATATTACGGGTTTCATTGCTTCATTTAATTATCAGGTCTTCTGTTACTTGCTTTGCTTCATTTCCTTTTCTTACATAATAATCTGTATGTCTTGATGCCACAGAAAATCAGTAACAACATTCGTTTGACTATAAGGGATCTGCCTGGTCCTCTTCCCTGTATTTTTCTACGTTACTACCAGAAATTCTTAGTAGTTTAATGAACTCTGATACGATTGCTATATTACTACTGCTTTTGGGTCTCCAGCTCTCCGTTGTGTACACACTCATACTGTTCTACTATTAATCAGCAGTATGACAAAAATAGACAAATAATCCCAGCAAAACTCCCAGGGTTGTTTATCTAATCAATCTGAAATTTGAGTTCCAGAGTATGATGTTTCTGCAGAACATCAATAAAAATCATTTCGCCATGACTGGGTTAGAAATCAGTAAAGGTGTTTTGTTTTTTGTTTTGTTTTTTCCTCTTTTTACTAGAAACCCCCTGCCCTTTCTCTTTACTTACATAGTTGTATCTTCTTTATTGCAGAAGAGTTATCTCTAAGCATCTCCGTTTCAAATTGCCAGGTCCAGGAGAATGTGGTGAGTCATACACATTGTATAATAATTGTGTGTGTTTACTTGGGTATTACAAAGTAATTGGTGGTAACGGCGTCTGGATGAGAAAGCAATGCCAGGGTATTGTAGCTAAAGAAGTCTGTGTTATATACAGGAAATAATCTACTTACCTGGCACAGCTGTTAGTTTATATGAATGTTAGTTTATATGTCCCTGTTTACAGCACAGTTAAGTGGATCATTTCAGGAAAAGTTTGTTGTGTTTTTCCACTCTGTTCAGGGTAATGATGGCACCTTTTACAGAATTTGATTAGTGTCAAATGTAAATACAGCTTAGCCAGTACTAATATACTCATGAATGTTTTGATTACTCCTGATATTTGTGATTTCTTTTTTTTCATGCATTAGGATATCAGCTCTGTGTACCAAATATTTGCTGATGAAGTGCTGGGTTCTGGTCAGTTTGGTATTGTATATGGAGGTAAATTACATTAGATTCCATTATGCATTTATTAAGGTAGAATGCCTGTGTAATTAGCCTTTTCATATTTGCTTGGCTGTATCTGGAATGTCTAGGTAATGTTTATCTTGTTAGAAGTTTTGTTTGGATTACTGTGGTTTTATGTACAGTATTTCTTACAATTCATTTTTTGCATTTAGAGTTTTGCATTGGCATTAAAATGAGTTTAGAATATGCATTGCATTTTGACCACAGTTAAATACAAGGCAATCTCTAGTGTGAATTTGGCCTTGGTTAATAGGGGTTTTTTTTAATTGCAAATTTTAACACTGTTGTCTCGATACTCTATAGAGTATTAGAAGTTGTGTATTTAAGAAGGCTGTCAGTTATACTTGCTTTTAATGATATCTGAGAGATGTGGCCAAAAGCAATTAGAAAAATACATAGTTTATACTTTGACAGTATTTATGCAAACATATTATTGATATATTTTACGCAAACAGTTTCTCAACAAATTTCTATCAGCAGGATAAAGAAGAGTGAGGAATTCTTTGCCAAGAGGTCTCAGTTTTAGCTTTCAAATGTAGTTTTATGACTTAGTTTTTCAAAACTTCTATTGCAACATATAACTTGTTTGTAGTATGTAATCACAAAAAGAAATATTGGAAATGCACCATATGAACTGTTTCTTTTTTTTTTTTTTTTTTTTTTTTAAATATCCCATGTGTTATATCTCAAGTGTTGAGAAAACCACAGACCATAAATGTGGAAAAAAAAAGTGATAGCTAATGATTTAAAAGTGGTAACCTTTCTGCTTCTGTCATGTTGTTGTTCTAGTCAGGAAGTAGTGTGGCTATGATTTTTCTGTGTGCCAACTGTGTAGTTAAATACCTTCTTACTTCTGAACTGCTTGATGGAAATGCAGTTTGATGGTCTGGTTTTACATCACTCTTGAGAGGTCTATTTTTTTTTTCCCTCTGTGTTTCTTAAAGCATACTGTGAAAGGACGCTCCCTCTCTTACGCATAGAACATGCACAAATGCAGGCAGTAATTCAATGTTTTGATTTTATATATATAAAATCTGTATATATTCTATATATGCTCTCCTAAGCTGCCTTTTGGATAAATCTCAGCTTGCTATTTTTCATGATTCAATGCTTATAAACATAACAAATGCTTATAACAGGCTTTCATTATATTAAATCTTTTCATTTAAAGATGCCTTAAAATATATAGGGCATGCATACCCAGTTTCTTAAGATAAAATCACAAGCTGAAAGAGCAAGAGAATGTAAAAGAATATTCTTTTGCTGGCTCTGCACGCTGGTGTTTAGGGAGACTAGATCTGGTAACTTCGATATTGGCTGCTCCCCACCCATGTAGGCTTACTGAAATAATGGTAACAAAGCCTTTTATTTAAACAAAAAAAGGTAAAACTAAGTTGCACATACAGTTGTGGGATTTGGGTTTTTTTTGTTGGATTCGGATTTTTTGTCTTCTATTCTGGACAAACATTTACAAATTGTAAATCAAAAAGTTATAGGATATTGACATCCAACTCCTGTTTCTTTTGGTGAGAACAGTTTCTCTCTGCTTTTCCTCTTCTGGGTAGTTTCGAAGGGTCTGAAAAATGGAGACAGGAAAAAAAAAAAAATCTTGACAGTTTCTTACTGATGTAAAACTTGCCCTGAAACCTGGTTGGTTGTGTTTTACTTAGGAAAAGGAATTTTCAAGCTGCTTTTCTGTTAATCTTTCTTCATGTTCAATTTTTAGCTCTAGTCTAGCTTCTGTAGTTAAGTGTTTTGTTAGTTTTGTGGTTTTGCTTTATGTTCTCTTGCAACCTAGCATTTGTCTTTTGGGTTTTGCATCTAGTTCATAATTCATGGTATCTCTGCTACTTTTCAATATAATTTGATGTCTAGTGGAGCCAGATTCACTGTCCCTGAATCTAGGGTTTTATTTAAATTATAGCTGGGTGCTGTGATTTCTAATATTCTGCCTAAAAATTGCTGATTTGGTACAAACAAAATGACAAAGCTCCCCAGATCTCTCTCTCTTAAGACTTCTGGCTTTATGCTGTTGTCTGTGACAGTCCATTATACAGTGCATGCTTTCCCTAGGACTAATGTAATCTTTTCAAAATTTATTTTTTGCTCTCCAGTTGTTGGTTCTATTTGGTAACCTTGTAAACATTTGCGGACCTTGAATGATGTCTCCATTAACTGCCTTAGTCTGGGGAGACGGACCCTTTATTCTTGATGATGTTTAAGGCATTAGCTGCTTGGCATGGCAGCCTTTGGAGCAATTCCTATGCCCTGCCTGAGCCCTGGCTGCCGGTGCTGACTGCAGAGCAGCAGTTCAGGCCTCGCTGGGTGGTCAGTGAGGCGTAGCTGGGCTCCCCGTAGCCGTGCCAGTAGAGTCCTCTCTGCCACTTGCACTGTAGCTGTGTGTGTTGTCCCTTTTCCTGAAACGGCTTCCACATCCTTCACTGAGCAGATAATGATGTTTTTCCTTCAGTGCAGATTTATTGTTCTATATTAGTTTAGTATTAAATGTCTTAGATTATGAAGGTCTTGCAGCGTGTGGTCCCATTAACCTCTCTGTTGTGAATGTGATAGAAGTCAGTTCAGCAGTTGTGGAGAAGCTGGGTAAGCATTTACAGCTACTCGCTTAGCCCCTGAAACATCCTGTCTGTGTGTTGCAGGATGCTTCTCATTTAGCTGATGCAGGCTGCAGCAAGGAACAGACTTTTTTTTCTTACCACAACCTTTTAGAGCCTTTTGACCACAACAGACTCCCTCCTGGGTGTTGACGTGTTGTTCTTCATGGCACATAATTACCCCTATATTCCCGTAGAGTATTAGATATAATTTCCTGTGCATGTGGAGCCCTTAAAAGTATGAAAGCACTAGAGAAGGCTTGTAAATCTTTCTTCACATTTGTCTTGAACAGTTTTGTTGTTTGTTTTTTTTCCAGGAGAGGCAATATTCTGTGGGGAGTAATTACTTGCTAAGGTGCAAGTTCCTTGCACAAACAAAACCTTCAACTAATACATCTAATGTCAACGTGCACACCTGATAGCAGAGTAGTAACCAGTTCAAATTTATCTCCAACCTGCCTGCTGAGGCTGATCACTTCTTGTTATTCATATACCAGTTGCAATTTTAAGTATAAATCTAATAATATTGTACATGTGTACAAAATATACCTGTTTCCCCAAAAAGGAATTTCTTCTCTAATGTTTTATCGCTATGAACTAACGATAGGATGAGAGGAAGTGGCCTCAAGTTGCATCGGGGAGGTTTCAATTGGATATTAGGAAAAATTTCTTTACTGAAAGAGTGGTCAAACGTTGGAACAGGCTGCCCGTAGAGGTGTTGGAATCATCCCTAGAGGTGTTCAAAAAACGTGTAGACATGGCACTTCGGGACATGGTTTAGTAGGCATGGTGGATTGGGTTGATGGGTGGACTTGATGATCTTGGAGGTCTTTTCCAACCTTAATGACTCTATGATTCTCTGAATTGCCTCTGCCTCTTGATGGCTGACTGACTTTTCTGTTTAGGAAAACATAGGAAGACTGGAAGAGATGTGGCTATCAAAGTCATTGACAAGATGAGGTTTCCAACTAAACAGGAAAGTCAGCTTCGTAATGAAGTAGCCATTCTCCAGGTACAAAAGTATTTTTGGATCACATTGGAGTTTGTCTCAAGCCATTAATAAGATTTTGTAATGTGTGTAAGTGCTCTGAATTGATTTCTAAATCTGTGTATGTGATTTCTCAGTCTTTTTGTAAGAGGGAATCTTAGAAGAGTGGGAACTCCTGAGTATTTTGGTAGAGTTGATAACTTTGGAGTGGTATCTACCTCCTGTAGGGGATCCACTGAAGACAGGTACTTTGGCTCCATGTTGTCACCTGCAGATAGCAGGAAACTGTATTATTTTTGGGTGTCTTCCACTACTGGCTCCTCAATCTAAGAGTGCTATTCTTGCATGTTCTGTATGCAAGCTACTGAGTGTATCAACTGTAAAATCAATCGTTATGGATAATTTGTATTAAAACAAATTAGTCTTAGTAGTGATAATTGGCATGTTTCGTGGGTTGATGTTTATGTTTCAAGCTAGTTTCTTGCCTCAGACATTGTTTTTGCATCTCTAACTCTCCACTTAACTGCTTTTTGATTTGAGGTACAATGTTTTTGTGTAATTTGGGATATTTCATACTGTTTTATTTTAGTGATGTTCCTATACTACTTTATTTTAGAATTTGCACCACCCTGGGATTGTGAACCTGGAATGTATGTTTGAAACCCCGGAACGGGTCTTTGTTGTGATGGAAAAGCTGCATGGAGATATGCTAGAGATGATTCTTTCCAGTGAGAAAAGTCGACTTCCAGAACGAATAACTAAGTTCATGGTCACTCAGGTTGGCATTCAGTCTCTCTTCTTTGAGAGGAAAGGCTAGATTTGTCTTTCGTAATTATGTGAGAAGGGATTTTCTGTATTTTTATTTCAAAGAGACAGCACAGAGGACTGCACATCTAATGAAAGTTGAATAAACATCGAAATAATTTTGAATGTTAATTGTGTTAATTTTTTTGCCCTTCTTTCCCAAGACATAACATTAGGGACATCCCAAGATGTGTGTCAAAACAGTAAGCATTAAAAAGACAGACAGGGAGGAGGGGGGGAAAAAAAAAGGAAAATCCACACCATCAGTTCCAAGTCTTGTTAGGCTAGAAAAAAATAGTACTTTCAGAGTGTACACGGGTTAATTCTTGAAGGCTGTGTTGATACAAATTACTGTGTTGCTTAGTGTATGTGGCTTTTGACACTCTTGATCCACTTGAATAGTTCTGAAAATGTTCTTTCCTTTTTGTAGATACTTGTTGCTTTGAGGAATTTACACTTCAAGAATATTGTGCACTGTGATTTAAAACCGGAAAATGTACTACTAGCATCAGCAGAGCCATTCCCTCAAGTGAGTGAAGATTAAACAATACTTCTTCCATCACTTTTTGTTGTTCTTTTGTAAAGAAATATAGGCATTGCAGCTTAAAAAGTGACCTTTTATGGGATTGTTTGATTGACTTAGTCTAGAATTACTTGAACTACACACATTATAGTTGTCTTTTTTTTTTTTTTTTTTCCCCTTCCTTCCAACTCTTAGCCTAGCTTTATGCTCAGTGGTATCGGTTTCTTTCCCCTCAGACATGCATCATGTCTCCCGACAAATGTGCACCAGCATTTTTTATTCCAGGGAGCCTGAGAAGTACAACTGCTGCCAGCACTTAGCAAAAGGCTGTGTAAACTGCATCTATTTTTATGCTTGTCGAAAGTGCGTGGAAATTGGTATTCTGGATCAGTGAGAATAATCCAGTGGAAAAGGCACAAGACCATAAACTTCAAGACCAGTCCTTATTCCTGTTCCAGTGCTGTTTGACCCTGGAAAATTATTTCTTCCCTGTTGCACATCTCCTTTGCCTCCCCACTCTTGTCTGTCTTGCTTATAAGCTCTTGTGAAAAGGGACTGTCTCGTTTGTCCCTGGTCTTGCTCAGGGGTCTTCATCATCAGTATGTGTGATATTACATTGTAATATAAACTAAACAGCTGATTTCTGTAAGAGAAATGCTGTTCAGCGATACTAGTACTTCTGTACTGTCAACACGTACCCCAGTCAGCTATTACCTTAGATACCTCAGATAGTATGGATTTCGTGGATGATGTACAGAAATTACAATTTGCTAGGCAGCATCAGGGAATTGCTTCCAGTCCTGTGACATTACTGCGAAGTGCAGTGGAATTCTGAAGAGTCACTTGTGTGCCTTTACTGTGCTGCTCCCTCTTATACCCTGAGGAGGACTTACTAACTCAGGGTTAGTGTTGGACTTGACCTGGATCCTTTTTTCTGTACGAGTGTCTGCTGTGTTCAAGCTACGTAACCATCCCAGAACCATGAAGATTTGAACACCGGTGCAGGCACCAGCTGTTGATGCTTTTTACCTGGATGGTTTCTGGACTGTTCTGCCCAGAGCTGGCTAGATCTGAGCTCTAGCTAAAACTCAGCATTTGATTTATGTGTAGCTGAAACTTCCAGCTTCAGGAATATGATTAAGAATGTGGTCTGGCTGGGATCCATGTGCTTTTTAAATTTTAGTTTTGTGCCTTGTGAGGGTGTGAATTTACCTCTCAAAATGAGCTGAGTTTGGAATGAAGTTTTTTGTCCTTATTTGCACACTTGTGGCCATCTATTACACAGATTGCCTCAGACCTGAGCCTGTGCAAGGCCAGTTCAGGGCTCAGTCTGAAACATGGTTGATCCACAGGCTGCAAAACCAGCAACCTAAACCGTTAACTGACTGGTTTAGGCAATGCTTTGTCTCTGATTTAGTGCATACAATGTTTAAATGATGGTAAGAACAGTATCGAGTACCGCTCTGGTCTTAGGCTGTAGCATACTTTGGAGATCAAGCAGAGATTTCTCAGTTTAAAATCTATTCCTTTCGCAGGTGAAGCTGTGTGATTTTGGCTTTGCACGTATCATTGGTGAAAAATCTTTCAGGCGCTCTGTGGTGGGGACACCTGCTTACCTGGCCCCCGAAGTGCTCAGGAGTAAAGGTTACAACCGCTCTCTAGACATGTGGTCAGTAGGAGTTATTGTCTATGTGAGCCTTAGTGGTACATTCCCGTTTAATGAAGATGAGGATATAAATGATCAGATTCAAAATGCAGCATTTATGTACCCACCAAATCCTTGGAAGGAAATTTCTAGTGAAGGTAAAGAAATAAATTTTCTCTATTAGAATGTCTTTATGTGTAGATAATGCATTCAAATGCTTAAACTTCAAGGTTCGTTCAGACAGGGCTGTGAGAATTACTGACAGTTTGAGTTCAGTGAACTATGCCAAAATGAGTAAATATGAGCTGGCATATATTTGTGAAAGACAAATTGTCAAATACAGTGTTGTAGATGGTTTTCAGGGCAGGAGGAGCCAATAGATGTAGCAAGAAAAATTAATTGCAAGCATGAGGAGTGGGATGAATAACCTGAAACTTCCCAAAACTCCCAAAGAAAAGTTAAATCACGTGTGAGTATTTGCTGAATGCTGATCTCAAGTCATACTTTATCTACACTATAATTACAGAAACAGTTCAATGTTGAATCTGGGATTTTAGTTTTGTACGTTAGCAGGTGAAACAAAATCTGGTTCTAAATGTCAGGTCTGAATAACCCAGAAGTTTATGAGTTGGTCTCTAGAGCACTCGAATGCCAGCTTTGTTATTAGTAGTGCATGTATGATTAATGCATAGGTAGATGTGGAAGGACGTATACAATAGTGGAAGTACCTAGATCATTTTGGAATGCGGGATTATGCTCAAGTTATTTAAGCACTTTCAAAAATAACTAAAATCTGTAGGGAAAAAGATGAATGTGTAATATAGTAAAGCTTTTAATGTTTCCATCAAAGGGGGGAAAGCTTTTTTTTGTAGCCTTGTTTAACATAAGCAAAGTTAAATAGAAAATTCAAGAGCTTGATTGAGGTTAAAAGTTCAATAGAATACATACACACAAAAAAATTCACTGCAGCATGCGAATGATGACAGAGGTGATTATTTAAACAATATAATTTTTGTTCTGTTCTTCTTTGTCAGCCATTGATTTAATAAACAATTTGCTTCAAGTGAAGATGAGAAAACGTTTCAGTGTTGACAAATCCCTTAGTCACCCGTGGTTACAGGTAAACCCATCTGCCTTTTTCACTGTGTTTATAATGGGTGAATAATGATTATTTTTCTATTAAATCCTTCAGAGGCTTATTAACACTGCTACTATCAAAGTCTGTTAACAAGCATTCATGGAGACTTAAGTTTTTCTGGTTTTAGCTTTACATTTTATGGGCTCCAGGATTCTGCCCATCTGTTAGTGGCTTCTTTCCTCAAGGAAAATTTTGTCTTGCTGTCCCTCCTGCCCCTTACTTTCTGTCTGACACCAACACAGAGTTTTACTCTTCTGGCACCTCTCCTGAATGCGGGCAGTGATGAGTGCACGGAGCCCCACTGGAATCAGTATTGAGGCAAACATTGTTTGTTCAGTGCTGAAGTGGACCCAGAAGCTGGTGTGTGCTGTAACTTGGAGTCGTTTTAGGAAAAGAATTATTTGGGATGGAATTTATCCGCTTGTTTGATGCGGGTTGCTTTCACAATGGTGTCACAATACTGTATCCACATATCCATGCACACAAAGAGCTTAAAAGACATTAAAGGGGAAAATCCAATTAATTTTGAGTACAAACAATATTGGAACCAGTGTAACTTCATGTATGTGTATATATACAATTAATTTTATAATAAAGCTAACAGCTGTCTCGTTACAAAAAAAAAAAAGTCATGATTTACAGCATTACCACCTTAGACACTAGCCTATTTAATTTGGAACCATTCTTTGTGGACACTCTGGGGTATTTTGGGGGGTGGAGGGTGGGCGTGGGGCGTGTTGGTGGTGGGTTTTTTGTTTGTTTTTTTTCCCCCCAACAGATCTTTTTGATTGTATCATGTGGCTATTTACACTAAAAGTGGAGATAAACTGCAGAATTTGTCTGTGGGAATGTAGTGCTGCTGTTTCTTAAACTGCTTCCTTAAATCTCTTTTGTTCCTTAGGATTATCAGACTTGGCTTGATCTCAGAGAATTTGAAACACGCATTGGAGAGCGTTACATTACCCATGAGAGTGATGATGCACGCTGGAAAGAACACGCTTATGAGCACAACCTTGAGTACCCCCAGCATTTTATTATGGCTCCTAATCCAGATGACATGGAAGAAGACCCTTGATTTATTCGTTATGCTGAATTGCAGCAAAGGACACTCCAGACAGAAACTGAAGATAAGTTTTGGAACAACTGTTGCTCTTTCTGAATGCTGTACACATAGTTCAGTGTACAAAGCCCCAGAGGCTCCTGCATTGACGTGGGAAAAGACTGTCATCTGACAAGCTTTCCTCCATCTCCAACTTAAACTATGAGTAGTTACTGGACAGCGGGATGAGCCCCGTAGGGGAACGCTTCACCAAGCTGTGTGGCTACAAAACTGTTACTGAGGTGTAATGTGTACAGACTGAATGGCTTGTGTGTTTTTCAAGGTTGTGTTTGGGGTTTTGATTTGGTTGGGTTTTTTTGTTTTTTTTTTTCCATAGCCTACTCAATAAGAATTTTGTAATGGTTTTCTAATCCCTATTTACTAGGCCATAGAGGACTGTTTTCTGTTACTTAGATACATCTCCCGTTTCCTGAACTGTGCGTGGTGAAAAGAGACTGTAAAAAGAAACTGGTGCAGAATACTTTGGCTAATAGCAAAACCATGGTGGTTTAGGTCAAATACAGCTTCATAGATGAAGGAATATTTGCTGCTGTTAAGACAGTTAAATATGTGTGTCTTTGCCCTAACTGAATTTTTTTCAGATACCCCCCAAAAAAAAGGAAAAAAAAAAAAAGAGAACCCTGTAACTTCCTACATTCCTCTTGAAATGCTGGCTGACAATCTAAAGAGATGACAATCAAAGCCCTGCTAGTCCTTTATTTTGGCTGTTAAAACAGAGCAATAAGTCATGACAGTGTGTGGCTGTGCAGGGCTGGCACACGTCATTGATACAGGCCAAAGGCATTTTGCCTTAAAACTATACCGGTAATGCACGGAGAACACACAAGACTTGATGTAGCATATCCTTTCACTCTGGAAAAACAGCTTCTAGCAGAAGGATGTAGAAGAATAGGGAAAAATACACGCAGCTTTCTTCTGCTGTTTTGAGAAATTAGACTTTTAAATTTTTCTAATATTTTCCTATTTTTTTTTAAGGTTCCCTGGACTTGCATCAGGAGTAGTTGTAGCCTGCTAGCTTGTATCTTAACTCTGCTCAAAACCTGGGAATAACAGTGGGTATCAAATCACCTGTTGCTCCTGCCAGGGCAGCTGGACTGTTGGAGAAAGGGCTTTGCCTTCTGCCCTCAACCTGCAGTCCCTCCCGTCCTCTTTACTGCGCTCAGCGTTGTTGTTTGCGCTGAATGAAGAGTCCAAAACCAAATCCTCATTCAGTTTTTTATGCAGATGCCTCAGTTGATGGATTCCCAGCCACTTACTGGACTTGTGCCACAACAGAGAGGAAGCAGTTTGTTCTTTGGAAGTGATTCCCTCAGAGGACAGCATAATGGTTAAAGTTCATGGTATTTAAAAGAAGTTTGAGGCCATGAATGCTAAATGCAAATGCAAGGGTTTGGTTTGTGGTTTTTTTTTTTTTTTTTTTTTTTTTTGTCCTGTTTTAAAAAACTGAAAAGGTGAAATCTTTCCTTTTGTGTGGGATTAACAGCATTGTGCTGGTGAGAGGTGCTGAGTGGCTGTACGTATCCCTGATGCGCCAAGCTGCTTAACTGGAGCTTGGTTTGAAATACTTTTTAAAATACTGATACAGGCTTGAACTGCAAAGTCAGTGACAGGCTTTGGGGTATCGCCTCTCTTTCCTACAAAGATTTTTTTTTTTGTGTGTGTGTGTGTAGATAAGTTTGGGTTTTGTTTTTGTTTTTGGTTTTTTTTTTTTTTGTACTATTGTTATTCAGGTAAGGAAGCAGGCGAGCAGACTTAGAAACTAAGTTCTTAGATACACATAAAATTTTACAAGGTTTTTTTCAGGGCTGGCAGCTGCTTGCAATGACAGTGACCTGGCAGTACAGTCAGTGGCAGTTGCAGAAGTATGTACCCACGGGTAGGTTTGGGTCTTTAACCCACCTTTTCTTTCCTTGTTGCCCTTAGCCTAACCACCGCTGAATTTTGTAGGTGTCGAAGTTGGGAAAGGCTGAACTCTGGCTTCCCCGTTAGGATTTACCAAACTTTGTACAAAACGTTGGCGCAATCTGTGTGGCGGTTTCCTACGGCCAGCAACGGGCAGAGGGTTTCAGCCCTTCCAACCACCACCCGTCCTCTCTCATAACACATGTTTTTCTCAGGTTTGGCAGTCCCTGCCCTCCGACACTGGGGGTCGTCCTCCCTCTTCTGTGCTGTCAAGGCAGCACAAAGGAATTCAGAAAGGGCAGAGTTTGTCTCTTAACCTCGCCATCCTGTTACATCAGGGTTTCAGGACTGGTTCTTCCGAGAGGCACTAGTTTTCATCTTTATAACCAGATCACCTAGGAGGTTGGTAGTCTAGTATTTGCCCAGGCTTGGCAAGGGAAGCAGTGCTTTTTTTCCTATCTTCCATCCTAACTATAATAATGTAGATACAGGCTGGTTTTAAACTTTGGATTTTATACTTGAGCTGTCACTTCAGGTTCTCTGTGGGGTTTCTTGTTTGTTTTGTTTTAAGGGAGGAAAAAAAGGCCAGCTCCGTCACTTGAAAAAGCACAACAGGAATAGAGGAAGGAGGGGACAACAGTGAAGTAGAAGGCCCGGCTGATATCTCTCCCCATGAAGTCTGCTCTGCTCCAAACTATTATATGAGCTATTTATTCTTCAAGTTTTATTAAAAAAAAAAAAAAAAAATTGGCCTCTGGAGGAGATTACCTGACCTTATGGGGCCAGACAATAGAAGCCACAAGCAGCTAATAGTCAAGGAACCAAAAAATCACACGTACATTAGGAGTAAACTTTTGTCAGAGTAGTAAAAATAGCTGAGGTTTTTTTATTCCCTTTTTCCTACCTTTACTGCAAACCTTGACAGCAGTAGGTTACAGTGTTTCATATCCTTACCCCTAGATGAATTAAGTTGCGTTCATTCAGAAATAGTGCTATGATGATGCTAGAAAAAAAGCTCATGTAAAATTTATAGCCTCAAAAGGACACTGTCAAGTACTTTTATATTTTTATACATCCCATTGTTTGTAAATATCCTCTGATATGCTTGAAAATAAAATTTATTTCCCTATCAGACTTGTTCTTTTTATTTGCATGTATGTAGAAGTAAGTATTTCCTATGCTTCCTTGGTTGTGGATCTGTCATTAGATAAGCTCTGCTGTGGGAATTCTGTGAGCAGATGTTTTGGAACTAGTAACTCAACCCTTTTTGCATGGTTCCTGTCACCCTTCTCTTCACAAAAATATCTTCAAGAATGTCAAGGCATGTTGTGCTTTAAGCAAGTACCACAGCTGAGCACATCTGTTTGTAACTGACAAGTTTTAAATTGATTCCACTAGTAAATGCTTCACTCGGCTCTAGCGTCAGACCCCTGAAACATTGCTCACTCTCTGGTCCGTGTATGCTGGGTTCTGAAGTAGTGGCCCTGAAGCATAGATTGGTGTGAGGGAATTGCCTGGAGAAATAATGTTGTGACATTTCACGTGCTTTCAATTCAAAGATAAATCAAAATACTTAGTTGTTACTAGTTAATTAGTAATGCATGTGTACCTATAGACTGATTACATTATTGCAAAACATTTAGCATGTGCAACTATAAAATGCAGGACTCTGTGCCTTTTACTTTTTTTTTTTAAATTTAATAAGTTGCTCTTGAAAGCTACCATTACCAGACATTTTGCTACAGTATTTGAAATTACTGCAGTAAGAGTTCATCAAATCCAGCGACAGGTGGTAAGGGAGCCTTTGACTCTGGCTTATCTTTCTTGTCAGGATGTACAAGTCTGTGGTGAGGCAGCAGGGCAAAAAAGTTAAAACAGTCCCCCATCTTCTTGGGATTCATCAGCATATCATAGCTGTGATGTAACTGCTCACGAGTTGCTGCGTCACGTGAATTCTGCAAGAGCACCTAAAAAAGAGAATGTAAGTTATAGCTCTTTCTGCTTTCCTAGAAACTCCTTTGTATCTGCAATCTCTTCTTACGTCCTTTTCACTTAGCTAAGGGAACACTGCCATCATGTTCGGTAGAACAGGCGAGATCCCTGGTGGAGCTCATACGTTTATGTACATAGCAAAGTTTTGCATTAAGTACTCCTAAATACAATAAGATCAGTTTACTTTGCGGAATCCAGAGTAACTTTTGTCTAGGAGAAGCAACTCTTTGTTCTCACGCCTACATGTTGTTTGGAACAACTTCCTTTAAAATCAGATTTTTTGTAAAAGCTCTCTTGCTGCTTAAGAGTATTGCTTGTGGATTAGGAGAGTTTATGTACCTGTACATGCTATCGTACCTGCAATCGGAGGTCAATACCCATGTTTTTTAGAAATTCCCGCTGTTTTATGGGGCCTAACGTGGCTGTTCTTCCCTGTGCCATCTTTCGAAGATAGCTGAAGTCAACATCTGCTGTCAGGTCTGCTGTACCTGGAGCTTTCAGCACATCATGAAGTTTGTGATTCCGGAAACCCTGGAAAAATTAAGTTGGAAGACGATACTCAGCTGTACTCCCAGCTGCCACAGCTGGGGCTAGCAAAGACTAAGTTGTGCATGTGAGGGGCAAGAATAGCAAGTTATACTTTCAAAATTTGAGATAAATATAGCAAGGGCTCAGATTACCCTTTCCATCTGGCAGAAACCCTTATGGGTACAGATTAAATAAGAATGCAATTACTGAGTTTTATGACTGCAGCATAATGCAGTTTTTGCTATTATGTCCACCCAAGACTTTTCTCTTACAAGAACCTAATGATCCAAGTGACAAATAAAAGCTAACAGAGTATTTTGGCTTCTTATTGAAGGGTAAACGACTTGCCCGGAAAGTGTCAGTCTTGGTTCCATCATGACCATAATCAGCAACCAGTGCAGCCCCACCATCCTTTTCTATACGACAGGCAAGCCTCTGAACGATGACGCCAGCCTCAGGACACACTTCCAGGTGATCTCTCGTTTCTTCAGGCTAGTGCAGAGTTCAAAGAAAGATCAACACACCTGTATTAGCAAGCAAGTACAGGGCAAGCGTTCTCCACGACATCCTGGGATTGTCATCACGTCACTGGGGCGCAGAGGTCGGGGGTGTATCCCAGGCTACCTTGAGCCTGAGCTAGTTCTTCCTAACAGTCATTGTCAATCTGTGTTTTCCGAGTGCTGGATTTCAGTCATCACTTCTATAACCTATAGGTCAACTGAAAAGATTTTTTTTTTTTCCTAACAAGGAAGAATACCTGCATCAGGTGAAACTGCATCACTGTGGTACCGAAAGAATGAAAATAGCTCTTCTCCTGCACGCACCCTTCAAAAAGGCCTTTGTGTGAAACTTTGTAGTTGGTTTTAATCTCAACTATGTCATGTTGTAACTTTAAGAAGTTAAATCTTAAGATGCTTTCGATTAAAGGTCAGTATAGCAGAGGAGTACCCAGCTGTACCGAGTAGGTACGCAGCGGGTCAAGAGCCTGGCTTCAGCAGGGCCGCTCTCGAGATGGCGAAGGGACGCGTGCAGTGCTGAACTCTCCCTGCCACTTGCTGTCTCAGCTTGTTCTCCAAAGCATTTTGCCTGTTTCAGCTCCAATTTTGCAAAGGTTGATGTAAGCATTTATTTTTGTGCTATATTTTCACAGCGTACAAAGCTCAGTGCTTTGCAGGATGGAAATAGTAAGCTGCATTTAGTCATTTACAGATTGAGAGCCCTCCTCTTGCTATCAAAGTAATGGAGAAGTAGTAAATGTACTTGAAAGAGGCAGTGAAAGCTGTAAGTGTGAACTCTGGTGGGCGTAGCCTCACCTGAATAAAGTTTTCTGTCGCAGGGGTACTGGACGGTGACAGGACAAACCGCAGCTGGTCAGGAACTTCTGGATCTATATCAACCAACACTTCACGCCAGCCTTTCTCTGTTCTCTGTTTAATGAACCCAAAGTACTCATTTTACAAGATACTCATTTTACTTTTACAAAGTACTCATTTTACACTCTTAATGGGTACAACGGTATCTTGTTTATTTGACTGGACTAATGAGTCAAGCATTTTCACAAACATTTTAAGAACATAACATGCTATTGACAATTATTCCAGTAACTGCCCTGGAAAAAGCTTGTGGTAGAGACTCACCTGCAGAGTCAACAAATACAGGTTTAGTTATACTTACAAGGAATGAATGATGCTGTTAAGAAAAATGCTGCCTCTATTAACAGTGCAACCTTTAACTTATCAAAACAAAATATTTTATTCTACCAGTGATTTTCACAAACTAATTATCAAATTGAAGTTGAAAGTTTCTTCTGAATCCTAACTCACCTCTACTTTGCTATTCTCACGACCATTCAAATGAGAGCCCTTCAGTCTTTGTTAGCAGGGGTACATCAAATAATGTGGAAATTAAAAGCTTTGTTAAAGTAGCAGAAGAAATACAAAACCTTGAGACTTATCTCAGCAGAAAGAAACCTTTAGTTTTCTACAAGTTTTTCCATTCAAGAAGAATTACTAATTTTACAGTTTTCAGCTGAATTAAGCCTTATTTGTCCAAATTCAGTTAGAAGTATTTTATCACCAGAGACAATGCATGTGTCTAGGTTGAGCACTCTAATTCTGTTCTTCCTCAAAGAGCAAAGGTGTTTAAGCAAATGGTCACAATTACAATAATTTTCTTGCTGTACCTGAAACTTATGTATTGGCAGGGCATCAAAAAACTCATGTGCTAGGTAAAAGCTGTAACCTGTGGGAAGGTAAAAAAAAGAATGCATTCAATAATTAATGCTTCCACAGCAGCTTCCAGTTGAAAATGAAAATGTTTTAATGAATTTTAATTAATTAAGCTAGTTAATGTGGTTGTGAAATAATTGTCACTACTTCCAGCTTGGAAACATCAAAGATAGTGTTTCTACAGCTAGCTACAGTCCACAAATTTTAGATCAGTATCTCACCAAAGGAGATTCAGGCAAAGCAAGTAAATGGTTTCCCACGAAAAATACATGAAATGGGGTAGCTATCCCAAAATGCAGGTAGTCAGAACAGGCAGCAGTTATGAGAATGAGTCAAGATCCTGCCTCAGACTCCTACAAGCAACAGGAGCTGATATGCATGCTAACTACCTCTCTACCCATTACGAAGACTTAACAGGGACCTCCTCGGTTATCAAAAGCTGTGAATGGAAGGGGGACGCCATCCCTGTAACAAGACCTTCAAGCACCTTACCTGGCGGCACATCTTGAACGTCTCTGTACCAGAAAATGGGAATTCCAGTCTTGCTAATGCCTTTCATGTAAGCAGACTTGTCCTTCAGGTCTGACTGCACCTTCCCTCCTGTCAGCATCAGCGCTTGGGTCTCGCTCAGTTTGGGACTCACTTCTACCAGATGAATAGAGACATCACATTTACTAAGTAAAGAGGCAAGCTGGTTGAAGACCTATAAAGGCAGATGGATTCTATTAGGCACAGTCACATGCTGTATATATTAAAGGTTTAAAAAAATTAACCTTTAATCTCATTACTTATATTAAAGATAAGATTCAGGTGGCTTTCATTTAACAAAACAGGCTCAGTGAATGAAATTGCATTTTGCTCCTCCAGAAGGAAATGGGAATTTCTTCATCAATTTTAATAAAAGCTGCTGTGCTTCTTACAAAGTTGGCAAAATACCTCACACATTATGTAGCTGTAAGGACAGCAACATGAAATGCTAATTGAGAATAATAATAGCCTGAAAGTGAGTAGCTCCTCTAATACCTACAGCGGGTTTAGCATCAGGAGAAAAGTGGTTCAGTTTTCCCAGACACCATAAACAAAAAAGTACTCAATATCCTACATTTCACTGTGGTTATTGGAGTTCTTCTTCATTAACATATGTAAATAGAATAAAAGTTCTTCTGAGGTACTAAATCCCATTAGCGATTTGTTTTTGAATCAGTCGATTTTAATTCATAGACAGCCATGCAAGCATAACAGAACAGAAAGGGTTAATTCGAAAGAAATAAGCTCCTGAAATCCCCACGGGAATGGACACAACTTCATTCCTGTATTATTGTCCTCCTCCCTTTCCACCCATTGCTTGCGCTGAGGCCTCTCTCCCACTTACACACAGCAGCACCCTCCTAAGTGCTTTTCAGTTTGGATAATGCTTTCCTATACAGAAATAATTCGTAAGGGAATATTCCTGCACTCCCCTTCTACCAAGCAGTGGTTGAAAGATTACACATGTGTCTGTGCAGTGTGTGCACACTGCCCCGTGTTCTGCTTTCAACTCTGAGACGGTCTCTTTGCTGAATAGCAGAAACTTGCACGTATTCTGATTAGATTCTAAGCTGCGAACCTCCCAACCGAAGTGACTTGGTTACCAGGGAAGGTTAAGCCCCAACAGCAAAACCTCATTCCTTCAGATTTCAGCCTAGCCACAGAATAAAGCCAGAAATCCAGAATATTAATATTAGTTCACCTACCCGTAATATATCATCAGTAAGAGTGCCCCTCCCTGGGCCCAATTCCACCAGCTGGAACGCTTTAGGTTTGCCCGCGGCTATCCATTCGCTAACACACCATATTCCTATTAACTGACAGAGAGAAAAAACACAAAGATTTAAAGTCATAACTTCAGAACTTGTGGAAAGTGACATCTGCCTTTTGTCTGAGAATAACTGCGATACTGTATGATATTCTTTCTCCGTATTTTAAAGCTAAGAAAATCATATATAACTGGGGTTGTTCAGCCTGGAGCAGAGGAGGCTGAGGGAGCCCTTATCGCCCTCTACAACTGCCTGACAGGAGGGGGGAGCCGGGGGGGGTCTGCCTCTTCTCCCTGGTAACAGATGATAGGACGAGGGGGAATGGTTTGAAGTTGCACCAGGGCAAGTTTAGGTTGGACATTAGGAAAAACTTCTTCACCAAAAGGGTTGTCAGGCTCTGGAATGGGCTGCCCAGGGAGGTGGTCGAGTCCCCATCCCTGGAGGTATTTAAAAGAAGGATAGATGAGGTGCTTAGGGCCAGTGGTGGGATGGCAGGGTTAGGTTAAAGGTTGGACTCGATGATCTCAAAGGTCTTTTCCAACCAAAGCTATTCTATGATTCATTTTCTTTTGTTTAAGCATTAAAATTGTTGACTGTTTGCTGTCAGCCCAGCAGAAGCCACTCTCCATGGGTAAACGGGTGGAACCCTTTTCTGGTTGGCGTGTGAGCTTCCACTGAAGGCTCAAGCACAGGTCCCTGCCCCCGAACAGCATCTGCGCCTTTCCTGACGATGCCTTTCCCAAAGCGCCACCGCGAGCAAGCGTTTAGCCAGCCCGCGCCACGGGAAGCGATACACAAACCAGAGCGAGCCCGACCAAAATCTGAAAGTTATTTCTGAGTTGAGTTTTCACACTGGGAAACTACCGTAACTCTATTTAGTGATAAACGAGTTCTATGAGAAAATGGGCGTTATGAGGCGCAGACGGTGTCCCGGACTGTAAGGAAGGACTCCCTGATCTTCCAGAAAAACAACGCCCCCCCCCTTCCTCCTCCAAGAACAACTTAACTGTAACTCGGGGATGAAAAGGAGTTACTGGAGGCGCGTGGAACTACGCGTTACCTCTCCGAACACCTGGCTTATTTCAGGTGAGGTGACGAAATCCCCGCTTTCGCCGATGCCGCCGCGGCGCGTGTAGTAACCCTGCGGGGGGGGAGAGGGGAGAGGAGCCGGGGGCCCGGTGA